CTCATCTTTAATCATGAATGAGACGATGAGAATGTCATCTCGCATCGACTTCACCCCTGCTAAGCTTAATGAAGAGACGCTCTTGAAATTGCTGTTAGATCTCAATGAAACTGATGAATGAAAGCTTCCAGCTTGTTATTCAGCTTTTTTTTTTTAAGTTTTCAGAAGAGGACTGAATGCTGTCTCAAATTCCTTTCACCGTATCTCCTTACTCAGGAGCTCTGCCACTTGACATTCTATAGCCGGTGTAAGTCAGTGAAGTAAACAGTGTTTCCTCACTAAAGTGTTAAGTTTTTAGGAACATGAACAAAGTCCTGAGAGGGATTATCTTATATTACTACAGTCTCAAAGCGAGATCCTTCCTTTGGTGTCCGAAGTTGTAGTTTTTTTTATGGGGTCGGGAAGGAGATGTGTCATGTTTTTTTAAGAGAGCCAGTTTGCCTGTGGGTGCATTTTTGTTGTCGTCAGGCAAGTCCCTGCACTGCAGCGCAGGCCTGCCCGAGTGGAGATTCTTTAGGAGGGAGATCTCTTTCTTCTCAAAGCGTCTTACCAAGAGCTATTAATTATTAACTGGGAGAGCTAACATCAAAGGAGCAGACTTGTGCTGAATTAAATGGGGGCTGGAGCCTGGCAGTGTGGAGCTGAGAGAAAAACTGGGTGAGAGGGAAAAGCTGAGCGAGATTTCGCTCCGCTTCGCTTTTGAACTTTCCAAGTAAGAAAAAAAAAAAAAAAAAAGTGAAAGAAGAAAGAAAAGAGCGATGTTAGTTTATGTAAAGGAGGCAGGACGAAAGAGAAAGTTGGAAGAGCTTGTATTTATGGCGCGTCGCTGTTTTAATGTTTCGCTGTTTGACAAGGCTTTCATACACTGCTGGGAAAGATTGAATCAGTTTGCGGGGTTAATTAGTCCTTAATGAGCGATGAAAGTCAGATTCATAAACATCTTGTCTGAGGATTAAACTGAGGGGAAATGTAATTGAGACGTGCCTCACACACTTCAGAGTCATGATGTGTTTATGTTTTCCTCAAGCTGATTTAAAGTTGAATTCCCAGAGTGTGGTACAGATGCCACCTTTTATATCAAAGGCCTTTTGAGAGTTAACTTCTTTTTTTCCTCCTGCTGTGACTTGTCTGTGCTGCAGCAATCCCACCAAAGGTACCTGCAGTGAAGAAGACTCACACGTGTGTTACTAGGAAAAAAAAAAATCAAACACTGTCCATATTTAGTGTCCTTATTGACTCGGTTATTGATTCTGGAGAATGCAAATACCTCTGGTTCTCTTCTTGCTTTGGCGGAAAAAGAAGCCAGCTGCTTTAAACAATAGCAGACTGCCATGTATATTGAGTGGACGCATTGGTAAAGAATTACTTTAGCTACACATGCCACTTCTTGGACATCTATATTTAATCATTAACCTCCTTCTAAAGACTCGTGGTGCATGCAGGGAGCGGGGAAAATAATATAACAATACTATGGGAAAGGAAAACGGTCGCAAAACTGAATCATATTCTACTTGATGCCACTTGATCAGCTACAGGAGTATAGGAAATAAGCCCTTTGACATGAGGTTTAAAGGGATAGTTCCCCCCAAAACAAAATACATATTATCCTCTTACCTGTAGTGCTATTTATCAGTCTAATTGTTTTGGTGTGAGTTGCTGAGTGATGGAGATGTTGGCTGTGGAGATGTCTGTCTTCACTTGGATATAATGAAACTAGATGGCACTTGACTTGTGGTACTCAAAACGCCAAAACCCTAACCCTAACCCTTAAGATAATCCACAGACCTTTCCGTTTCATGGAGGAACTATTTTCTCTCTACCAAACTACACCTGCGAACCGTATCACCACACAGAAGGAACAGTGCATCTACTCATGGATGAGAAGCTTGTGTTTGTGGCACTGTGCGATGTAAACAATAATGGCGTCCTTGGCTGAGTTGTAATGTTAGCTAACTCAGTGGTGCTAGGTGAGTTAGCAGTACATGCAGGCTTCCTTCTGTGGGGTGATATGATTGGCGGATGTAGTTCTGTAGAAAGAAAATAGTTCCTACATGATTCTTTCTACAACAAGGTCTGCAGCAAGCCCAGTGTGGTCTAATTCCATTATATTCAAGATAAGGCGGACATATCTGCAGCTGATATCTCCAACACTCACACCAAAACTGGGATTTTAGGGTGAACTGTCCCTTTAAAGCAGCAGGAAACAACTAACTAAAGCTGCAAAGTTGCCCAATCATCTTTGCTGCAACTGCAGGTAAATAATTTGATACATCAGGTCTTGCTAAACAAACTGTTTTGACAAAGAGGAAGAGTAGTTACAAGTGGTGCTGAAATTATTTGTCAATTGACACAAAAGTAATTGATAATAATTTAGATGAGGTCTATTTTTAAAGTAAATTCGACATTTGGTGTTTTATATCATTAAGAATTGAGAATCTTTGGGTTTTGGGCCGTTGGTCAGTCAAACCAAGACCTCACTTTGAGCTCACAGGACTTAGGGTGGCTATTTGTTTTCAGTTTACGCACCCAAACAATCAACAGATTAATAGATAATAAAGTTGCAGCACTCATCACAAATTACAACTAAGAAGCAAGGTCATTACAGACACACGGATGACTGACAAATCAAAGGAAGGTAGTAGTTAATATAAAGAGAAACAGATGCTTTCATACCAAGGACAAACGGCCACTGAATGTATGCAAGTATGAAAAGGATGTCAGTCATGTGCTGTGACCTTCACAGCCACAAGAGCCCATTGAAAGTTTTTCAGCTAGCACATTTTGGACTGATATGTTAGCTCTTGTTCACACATACACGGGGACATTTGAAAACGTAGCTTTTTCTTTGTGTTTTGGTCTTTTGTCCATGTGCAAACTGCGTTTTAGGTCACTGAAAACTGAGCTTCTGTAGAACTTGGTCCAGGATTTCAGAAACTCTGTTTTCAGTGTTGCTGTGTAGCATAGGTGTAGATTTCGTAGGGGACGCAGGGGACATGTTCCCCTCAATATTTAGAACATGTGCATCTGCTTCCCCAATAAACACATGAAATTAGCAGACAAAATTTAAGAGATTTGCACCAAAAATTGATGTAGAAAGGGTAGATTTATGCATAAAAATGACCAGAATTAAGGAAATTAGGTGTTTGATGATGAAGATTTTCTGGCAGAGCACCCAAAACCCCCAATTTCATATGTGCTCCCCCAAATTGTTGGAATGGAATATATGCTCTTGATGTGTAGACAGGGAAAACTTGGCTTGGAACATCAGAGTGTGCGCTGTTATCTCTTTTGTGAGGCGTCACAGATGAGGCGACATTTTGTGCAATGGCTGACATGGACAAAATAGTGCTGGCTCTAACATTTCTAACAGGACTTCTTACACGTTTACACATAAAAGTACAGTTACTCTTCCACTATGTTAAGGAACAGAGGTGTCAGAATGTGCCACAGAGGTCTCCGCTCTAGTGTAATGGCTTATTTCAGACCTCTGATTGGCCAACATCTTCCTCTTACTCTTCTTCGCATGGCTTTAGGGTTAGGGTTACATCTTCGCTTGTTGGTTTGGCATGTTAACAGCGCTTCAGTTGTGTTTTGCGTTTTCATTGGGCAGATTTTTTTATATAACTGCTTGTGTGGATGGCAGTTTTTTTTGGAGAACAAAGGAGGGAAAAACCCTGTTTTCTAAAATACCCACGTCCGTTTGGACCAGGCTTTAGACAGCGCTCTGCACCACCATAATCAAAACACCAAATGACGGAGTAACATTTGGATGCTGCTCATCCCTACAGTAGAGTTCCTCACACTTGGAGGATTGATGCCAAGGAGCAGGGAAGCTGTCCTGGTGGCTAATGGGGGAGTTTTTCTGTATACTCTTTGGTATATCACAGGTTAACAAGTGTTTGCAGTGGTGATTTGATCAGTTTTAAAATCCCTTCCTTTCTTCCTGTTTGAGCAAAAGATGCATAAACTTGCTCAACATCCCATCGCTGGATGTTGTTACCTCAGAAATCATCGTGATGTGTTGTGAAAAGAGTTATTGCGCCTCCCCCGCACATACCACTTCTCCCCATCTCCCTCTCTCTGTGTCCTCTGTAAGTGCCTGCTGACTGCAGCGATGACACTCTCCAGCCACTCAGCAGCAGAGTCACAGCACTGTACAGTGTCACTTTGATCTTCATCCCCCCCTCCTTCTCCCCTCCAGTTATGAAGAGCGCTGGCAAGAACCCAAGGGCACTTGATAATACCAGGATATGATCCCAGCCGCGCTATTTTAGATCATGTAGTGCAGACATCAAAACGTTGTCTAAATAGGGCGCCGTGAATCAAGCGGGGTGAGAACGGGTTGTGGGGGGGGGGGGCAGGAGTTAAGATAAAGGAACTTTTTTTTTTCCCAGACGAGAGGAAGCCAATTTGGATTCTGCGAGGAGATACTTGGGGTTCTGCAGATCCAAGCGTTTCCTTTATCTTTTGCCTTTAGCAGAAGTCTTCAAAAGACCTCTGTGCTGTGACTTTCCTTGCTCTCAGATGAAAGGAGCTCACATTTTTAGCAGTTGGAAATCCTTGATAACTTTATTCAACTTTCCTGAGCGTACACGGCAGGATTCGGCTCAAATTCAGCTGCAGAGTTGCATCACATGGAGCCAAGCATGCATTAGTTCTTGACACGGGATGCAGCGCTCTTAGTATCTGTCGTATTGTCAGGGTAATGCGGTGCAGATTTACTTTGAGTGATGTCATGATGAGTTCAGAGAAGTGGAGACAGAGACCACATGAGCGTCTTAGCAAATGTTATCAATGGCTTGTATCGGTTTTCTGTCTCTTTTCTTTCTCATTTGCTCATTCTAGATGATGTGCATGTAACACTCAGGCAGAGAACTCCCTCTAGTGGCCTGAACCTGAACGTGTATGCAGTTGACACACTGATCACACATTCCCTTGGCTTTTTTTCTTTGCACTGTTGTTGAATATATCTAATGATTGCTTTTGTTCTGTGTTTACAGGCGAAGAGAGCAGTGCAGCGGGGAGCCACAGCCGTCATCTTTGATGTGTCGGAGAATCCGGATGCCATCGACCAGGTTCGTACACACCTAAAATTACCCAGGCATTCACACACTCACGTTTCCACAACACTGAAACTGTCTAATCTGTATCACTCTGTCTGTGAAAGCCGCTCCGCTTTTCACTTCTGAAGAAAGCTCAGCAGCATGCCCTGCCCCTCTGACTGGCGGTGTGTGTGTGTGTGTGTGTGTGTGTGTGTGTGTGCTGTTTGTACAAACAATGATCTTTCTATCTTTAGTTCTGTTCAAAAGCATGTGGATCAGCCGCGCTTATTCAACCATTCTGGGCCTTTGAGCTCTCCAACTTGTGTGTGGAGGAGTGCACGGCGCTCTAAGAGAACTGAAAATGGATATCCAGGTTCAGCTTTCACTAGACCATGACCGAACTCTGTTGAGCTCATAATTGCACAGGTAGCACACATTACCTCATCCCCTGAGACTATGGGTCTGTCTCTGAATGCACATTTGGGGGAGCACATTGGGCTACAGTAAGAACAAAGTGTATTTCTTGTCACACACAGCCAGACACTCACATTCCTCCTCCTTCTTCTTCTTCTTCCACTCTTTCTTACTCCCATGCTGTTAAGAGGTATAATACACGAGTTGCTCCTCTGGGTGCCTTTGTCGCAAGAATTCTCCTGTGGTATTCATCTTCGCCACACCAGGTCTGGACTTGCAGGTTTTTCTTTTTTTTTTCCTCCCTCCTCGCCTCCTCTTCTCTGCTGCTGGGTCGTAAAGCGCGTAGCTGAGAGATAAAAGGGATTGCGCGCAGACCACATGAAAGGCAGCGCTGGGCGGCTGTGTTAAATTCCCCCGAGAGGCTTTTCCAGTCAGAGCGGCCCGATCAGCAGAGACAGGACCCACAAGGCCGTGGGGCAGGGAGGAGGAGCTTAGGGAGAATTAAGGTCCTTGGGCTGAAATTAGGAGAGAAGCTTTATGAAGTTAATGTGCTTGACCTTCTTTTCCTCTCAAAACACATCGAGGTTTTGTTTGGGGAAAAGTTAACAGAAATCCAAACTTTTTTTCTTTAAAGTTTACTACAGGACTTAAACTTTTTAAAGGTGTATTGTTTGTCTGAGGCCAGATTGAGTCTTGGTGGAGTCATTTCTCAAAGTGGGAGCGACGCAGCAGAATGAAGCGAGAGATCAAACGTTTCAGAGTCTATACTTTGAAACCAGAACATACAGTATTTCACTGGAGAACATGACGGCAGCAGAAGAAATAGAAATGCGAATATCCTCGGTATTTCCCTTGGGCTTTTCAAATTACAGATTCCAACCAGCAGACGAGAGGGGAGAACGGAGAGGGAGAGGAGGAGTAAAGGAGTATGTAAACTGACTCAAAAGCCAGAACATACTCTTCATTGACTGTTTCCCCCGGCTCCTTCTGGCAATGCTGCGACCGCAGTTTCCATGTCTTGAGCCTAGAGGTCATTTTCCCTAGTTGGTAGAAGAGAAGTTCATGCCTTGTACACTCAGATAGTTCACACGCATTAGGGCAGTGGCTCCCAAACTTCTCTCTCAAAGTCCTCTAAAAGTTAAACTATGTCTACTTGTGACCTCTCATCAGGCGTTGCTTTTGTTGATCAGTTGTGAGCACTTTAACCACAAAGTGATGTTTACATTATTGTGAGAAATGAGAAAAATCCAAGTCATGTTAGTAAGAAATCGCCTGTTAAGTAAAAGCTCACCCCAGAATCAAAAAGACATATTTTCCCTTTACCTGTAGTGCTGTTTATCAGTCTAGATGGTTTTGGTGTGAGTTGCAGAGTGTTGAAGATATCACCCTTAGGGATGTCTGCCTTCTCTCCAGTATAAAGGAACTAGATGGCACTCGGCTTGTGGTGCTCAGAGTGCCAAAAAAATACATTTTGAAAACCTCAGCAGCAACGTCTCTTTCCAGAAATCATGACCCAGTTACTCGAGATAATCCACAGACCTTGTTGTGTGCAGTTTTATGTAGGAACTATTTTCTTTCCCCTATCAAAGTGCAGAAGAGAGCGTGCATCTACTTGTACACTAGAGACTTGTGCTCGTGACAGTGCGGGATGTAAACCTTAACGGCGTCGTAAAGGACTGAGCTGTAATATTAGTTAGCTCAGTGGTGCTAGCTGAGCTAGCAGTAGATGCACTCTTTCTTCTGCACAGTGATTCGGTTCGCAAGTGTATTTCAGTGGAAAGAAAATAGTGTCTGCAGGAAACTCCTCACAGCAAGGTCTGTGGATTATCTTGAGTAAGTGGGTCATGATTTCTGGAAAGAGACATTACTGTTGAGTTTGAATGTGTAGTTTGGTGATAAGTGCACCAGGAGTCAAGTGCCATCTAGTTCCATTATATTGGAGAGAAGGCAGACATCTCCATGGCTCACCAAAACAATCTACACAGATAAATAGCACTACAGGTCAGAGGAAATATATGTATTTTGTTTTGGGGTGAACTGTCCCTTTAACATCGCATGGCTGACACCATCACATTTTAAATAAAAGTGTTCGGCTTTTAAAAGTGAACTCTTTTCCCTCAACATGCAGGATTATTTTTTTTATTATTCTCTAAGTGCCTTTTTGTTTGCAATTGGTTTGGACCTTGACTCCAACTTTGTTCATTGAGTGTGACCCTTTTTTTTTTATTTCATTTTGATTCATTTATGCTCAACCATGTTTTTCTTTCGTCCTTTTTTTGTGTTACATGTGAATGTTTAAGCAGTTGTAAGAGATAAAACTATTCAACAGGTTACAAGAGTCAGATTTTTCTTTTTACTTTTGTGTTTAAGAACCATCCTTTTCTTGTTTTGTAGATACCACTACATCACGGTGTGACTTTGACCTAAGCATATCAGGAGTGAATCAGTATGAGTTTTTGAAAGCTGTTTTTTTTTTTATTTTTTTTAATTGTTATTTAATGTTCAATTTTTTCAGATAAAACATTCCCTGACATAGGGAATGTTAAAGTTTATATATTAAAAAGCAAAACAATAAGAGGTAAACTATATACCTATGTATATAATCATGAAAAACATAAATAAATGAACAACAAACTAATAATTACAAAGGGGGGTTGCATTTACAACCGAGCAGGTGTAGTTACAGAGGAACACAACAATGGCATTTTGAGTGATATTCCATTATCATACAATCTATTACAACAACCCATTCTATTCCATTAGATCCCCAGATATAGTGTAACTCGAGTCCACCTTACTGTAACAGTGTCCATTTTCAGTTGCAGACTTGCCAGGCTTGTCATTCGTATCATGTTCTACCATTCTGAGTCTCTGCATCCACTGGATCATAGTTTTTGGGATCACATCTTTCCAGTTCACTGTCATCATTTTCTTGGCAGTCAGTAAGAGTATCCTCAGTGTATACCTCTGATCCACGCGATATTTCTTTAGGTGTAACTCTTAACAGAAATATAGGCATTCATTGTGTTTAAATAGAACTTTAAAGCCCAAAAAACAAAAACATACATACTAATTATTTTCTGCAGACTTGAAAATTGGAACATTTTGAAAAATATAATAAAAAAACAAAAAATTTAGTTACATACATCTGAATTCTAAAGGAGTACTCCACTGCTTATTAGGCTATTGTACTTCCCCTTGTTTTTTTAAACAGACTGGTCAAAATGGAAGCAGCAGAAACTTAAAAAAAACACTGAATCCTACATTTCCCATAATGCCACAGAAGACATTGTGCTAGTTTTCACAGAATGACATCACGTGACAAGTAAACTGAACTTTATCTGTGAAATCAGTGTAACCAAAGGGTCATTATTCACCAGCTCAATACGTATAATTTTGTTATGTTTGAGAACATTTGTGTTTGATGTATTTTTTTTCTCTCCTCTTCTCAGCTCAACCAGGTCGCAGAGGATCCACTGAAGCGGCCGGTGGTTTACGTGAAGGGCAATGACGCCGTTAAGTTGATGAACATCGTCAACAAGCAGAAAGTGGCTCGTGCTCGGATACAACACAGACCACCGAGGGTAAGCGCACATGCCAAAACCCAAAACCACACTCAGTGGAGATGACGTTCATATGTGTGTGAGTGAGTGTGAGACTAATCTAAGGCACATGTGAGGAACATGAGGAAGAGGTGAACATGTTTGTGAGGCCCACGCACCAAACAGTACTGAGAAGTTTTTTAGATGTGAAGACAAATGAAAATTCCAGCTGTGAAATCTGACCCTTTTCCTTTCTTCTCTGCTCTCCGCTGCCCCGAGGCCGAGGACTTTTTTTCCGCAGCGCTGTGGGAGATTAATATCAGCCATTCAAAGAGCTGTTTGTTTGCTTGGAATATTTGATAAGAGGACCAGCACACTTTGAGGTCAAATAACTTGACATAATGAAAGCCCGAGAGAAAGGACTGTCCGATAAGAGACATTTTTCTGATGGAGAATAAAACAATCTGGCCATTCTGTGGGAGTTCTGAGCAGCTCTTTGGGTGCTGAATTTATTGGAAATGATCATCCTCTTAAGTCAGCCAACTCCTCCATAGAAAAAGCAAAGAAATCAAATCTGCTCTTTTTCTGTTCTTGAACTCTGCAGCAGGGTCGCAACTAATGATTCTCATTATCAATTAGTCCAAGCCTTTTGTGTCATTTAATAATTAATGGTTTAGTTTGTTTAATGGCAAAAAGCAGTGAAGGAAAATGCTCAACATGGTTTTCTAGAACCAAAGGTGACATATTCAAATTGCTTTTTTCAACCAACCAACAGTCAAAAACCCAAAGTTATTCAATAATGATATAAAACAGAGACAAACTGCAAACCCTCCCATTTGAGAAACTGGAACCACTTACCATTTTTCATGCTTGAAAAACAACAAATCATTTTCTGTAGATCAGCTTATATGTTAAGACCCTAACACACCAAGCTGAGAGCTAGCAATGACGAAGGCCCCCTGCCACGTTGCCTAACGTCACCATGTCTCATCGAAAAAGTTGCACATGAACACATCGCAAGGCCTACAGCTGATGGCCAACCAACACATACATTCTGTGCCTGCATGAGAGAAAATAACTGTCCACACTAGCAGCGACAGTAGTGTGTAATCGTAATTCAAAAGGGAAACCAGAACACTGTCTTGATGCTAGTTAGCCAGTTAGCACTTTAACAACACAATCCAGTGTTGAAAGAACAGAGCAGCTTTGCTGTGCGCCACTGAACAAAAACACTGACATTTACAAAATGTTGCTGCTAAAGAGCTCAGTGTCTAAAGAAAAATAATCTGAACTTATGTAACAAGTTTGTTTTGGTCTCATTGCCTCTTGACTTTATCTCTTTGTTTACGTTCCTCACTTCTCTTCTTGTGCGCCAAGCTGAACTGCCAATAAGACTGATTTCTTTTACGTATTGGGCTCTGCCGTTACTGATTCAATGTGCTAAACCTGCCGAAAAAGCCAACAGGGACCAACGAGGTGCAACGGTACGGGAAACACATACTGACAGGGGACAGCCCAACATTGACCAGTGGCTGACTGCCAGCTTGGTGTGTCAGGGTATTTAAAGGAACACTTCTGCCCCCCAAATGACCACTAGTATATCATTACTCAGACTGAGTGACTGATACACAAATGGTCATTTTCAGGGGTGAAGTATTCCTTAAACAAACCAATGATTTTTAGCTCCAGTCTGCAGGATGGTCTCATTTGAGAGAGATGCAGCACTTACCTGAGTAAATTACTAAAGTACTAAAGTAGTCCTAAAGGGGAAAATGATTCTGAGATGGAAATGAAGTGCATGAATAATGAACTGTGTACTATTTATTCCACCAAGCACCATCAAGTTATGTGTGAAAATCCCATTTTTGATTTAATTGCATAATGATGAGTCGAATGAGTCACATCAGTGAGTGCTCTGATCTGCTGAGGAGCTGACAAAGCTATAATCAAATATCCTGAATAGAAAATGCAACTGTTTTCAGGCAGAATAACCCTGTTAATAACCCCTGTAAACAGCTGGATGTGAAGATTATTTGACAAAATCTGTGTTTCTCTTGCTCTCCTTTTCCACAGCAGCCCACAGAATATTTTGACATGGGCATCTTCCTGGCTTTCTTCGTGGTGGTGTCGCTGGTGTGCCTCATTCTGCTTATCAAGATCAAACTCAAGCAAAGGAGAAGCCAGGTTAGTATCTCAACACACACTCGTCACTATTAGAACCGAAACAACCTCAGCAACTTTATTTATTAACCGCAGTTTGAGTCACACAGGACTAAAAGTGATGTGTGTCTCTTACACAAAAACACACCCAAATCATGACGCCGTGCCTTGTTTTTCCAGTCGACTCGACTTCACTTGGAGTTGCAGGCATTGAGTCAGGCGACAGTAGCGTTGCTGTTGATTGATTCCTCTCGTGTGTTGACAAAAAGCTCTCAGTGGAGGCTTATGTCGGGCGCATGAATCAGGATTAGCATTTAATTAATGCAGATGAGAGGTTGGAGCCAAACACAGAAAGATGTCATGACAGAACAGAAAACCTGTAGCGGCATCCGTTAAGACAGGTGTAATCCTGCCAGCACATGTGTGTCTGTGTGTGTGTCAGACTTGTACTTGCTACATTGTAAGGACTGAAACAGTAACTTACAGAGTGAGGATATTTTTGGAAAGTGAGGACATTTTGGTGGGTTATCACTTAAGACGTGGTTTCAAGGTTTAGGTTAGGATTAGGGGGTAGGGTGGGGTTGGGATTAGGCATTTAGTTGTGATGGTTAAAGTCTGGGTAAAGTAAAAACAGTGATTTGTTTCTGATAACATTACATGTTGGAAAATAGTTGTTGAAAACATGAAAAGACTGTGAACTGTCTTGTACTAAACTGTGGACTTAGTGAAACTGTCTGTGACAGTTTTTCTGTGACCAGGGTTTTGGGGGGGGCAGGACTGAAATCATGGCTTGATGATGCACTGGAGCCATCCTTAACATAACCCGTCCCCTACTATATAAACCTACGATACCATTAATGTCACAAAGCATAGCGTTGTTCTTATTTGATTAGCCCACTGGGAAGCTACTTTCCACAAGCTCCCCTAATGCTGTTAGTCTACTAAATACATGAATAAAAATATTTATCAAATGCCACAATCATATGAACTCAAGCAAAAATAGCCGTCACTAACACATTTTTGGGTCAGTTAGAATCAGCTACCGTGCCCTGCCTGCTAGCAGCTACTGCTCACTGCTGTGGGTCTGTGCTAACATAAACTGCTGAACAAGAGGCTGTTGCCGTGCTGCAGCTCTCTCGTTCTTTGGTTAGGAGGGTGCATGCTGTGCTACCGTAGACTACATGTGCTACTAGGTTCGCTGCTAACAAGAGTCTGTCGCTTCACAGTAGCTAGTTCTCTGGCTCGGGGTATGTGTGTGCATTGTACTACTGGGTTAGCTGCTAAGGCGGGTGTGTAGCTGCAGTGCGGCTCGTGTTTCGGCTCCAGGTTTCTGAATGTTATTGTGCTACTGGGTTAGCTGCTAATAAGAGTATGTCGCTGCATGGTGGCTTGGTTTTTGGCTCAGGGTTTCTGAATGTTGTTGTGCTACTGGTTAGCTGCTCATAAGAGTCTGTAGCTGTGCAAAGGCTCAATGTTTGTTTCAGGTCCTTCAGCAGACATGCCCCTACCATCTCACGAGTAGAGAATACTGCTAATTTTTTCACGATTTTGAAACCTAGTTTTTATATACTTATACTACTTATATTTTTCTGTGGTGTGACAGACTCATTACACATATTTGTTTTTGCTTTACCTGGACTTAAAGGTTAGGGTAAGGGACTGGGGAATGCATACTGTCAGTGAGGGTCCTCATTGAGATACAAGGACAGGAATGTGTGTGTGTGTGTGTGTGTGTGACTTTCTTTCTGTGTGGGTGTATAATGGGTGTGTATGTGTGTATCACAGCAGCAGATGACTTGGTCGTGACTTCCTTTGGTGGTTAATTAAAAGAACAGCTCACACCAGGGGCACATTTGTCACATGTATCAACCTTTCCTTCCTGAAATGTGAAAAATTAATGAACTTCTTGTGGAGTAAATATTGTTAATACAGTGTTAACATTTCCTTTCCAATTTAACTGTAAACATTGGGGAAACATTCAGAATACTTTTGGGTTTAGTGAAGGAATCCTCAAGGGTTTGCCCCCACAAGACTGCAGCTAATTACAAACTAAAAAATAGAGATTTTTAACTTCACATGTTTCATGTTTTGTCAACCCTGTGATGAGAATGGCTTTCATGCCAAAGTTCAGTGCTCTCTTGCCGACCAGGATATCCACGTCCTTAAAAAGTCTACAATTATCTAGTCGTGAGGCAACATAAAGGAAGACACGGTCTCTGGAGAGCCTTTTTTTAAGTTAAGCCTAAGCATAAATAACTCTTTTAAACGAGTGATGCACTGGCGGTTCAGACAGCGGCTGCTATATTTACAATGTCTGCTACACATGTGAAACATTAAGTTTAATCCTAATAAGTGGTTCTGTATGTGTCAACTTATCATTCACCATTTTTTTTTAAAAGAAGAAACATTTTTTAGGCAACACGAAACAAATTAGAGATAAAAAGAGACCAGAGATTCAGAGCCAGAGAGAGTTGCTAATGCATCAGTTAAACATTGCAAAATGATGTACTGTGTCAAGGGGGAAAGTCTCAAATCATGGCAACATCAACCCTCTCTCATTAACAGCTCAGAAGAGCACAGTTCAAAAGTTGCCATCACTGACGTAAAGACATTTAACGGGATGTTTACTGCAAAACATCATCTCTGAGTTGACTCAAATCATAGTTTTGTTATTTTAAGGAGCACTTCACCCACCAAAGACAGTTTTATATCACCCGGTGTTACACTGAATTTGTAAAGAAAACTTTGTTTTTCACATGACTGCAGTAAACCAAGAATACAAAAATAGTTCTTGATGAGCTGAAGTCGACCTCATTTAACAGCAGCAAAACTTTATAAAACATCCATTTACAAACTTTCCCACAACTCGTGCAGTATAATCCAGGTCTCCTTTATCAAGTCATATGATTAATACCAAAACAGACGGTGCTTTCTGACAGGGAACTGAACTAAAATTGAAACTTAGGGTGCTTTCAGACCTAGAGTCGTCTTGCATTGGTCTGAATCAGGGACTTATTTTGTTACAAAGTTGTATAATTGTCTAGAGTTGGTTCGTGTTCTCACGGCAGCATTTACAAGCAGACCAGATCAAATGCCTTGTGCGAGAAAGCTGCTCTTGATTGGTCAGAATTTCCATGTGGGAAAAATCCAGGAAGTAAACAAAACGTTGAAGAAGAGTACACTTGCAAGATAAATGTGACACTTTCTAATGTCACAATGGAGGGACAACTACGCAGGTTGATTTTAGCGCTGCTCATCGTGGACTATATTGCTGTCATTGTTCATTTTAGTCAAACCACTGAGTTTGAAAATGAGACAACCTCTCCAAGAAGGTCTCGGCCCAGTTGTTTTGGTGCACACTCGAGTGCGATTGCTGTGTTCACACCTGCCCAAACGAACTGCACTTAGGGGGCAAATGAACTTGAGTTTGATTGAACCAAACCAAACAGGGCAGGAGTGAAAGCACCCTTAATTATGCTTTCTTTGAAACCAGACTTCATTGACGAAAACAGTGATTTAACCTCGCTGAACATGGGAGCTGCCGGTCTGCCACTGCCATGATTGTAGTTTGTTTATGTTATTGTGGACTAATCCTTTAAAACACAAAAGCTTTTGTCAATGGAATCTGGCTACAAAGAGAGCATAAATAAGTTTCACTTTAGTTCTGTTCCTCATTGGAAACAGTTGTTAATAAACAGATGTTTTGATTAAGTTGTGCAGTTGTTTGACACGGTTGCTTCTGACTGCAATTCATGAAGAATTTTCTTTATTTGATTCATCATTAAATAGAGGCATACAAAGTGTTCTTTATGAATTCAATGTTAACACGTGAAGTATTCCTTTAATGTCTTACTGTGGCTTACATGCTTGTTGACTTTCATGTTTTAAAGTTAAATGTGTCTTATCAAACATGCAGATATTTCCACTGACCCTGTCCCACCTTCCTCCCCACCACAGAGCTCGATGAACAGAATGGCCATCCAAGCCTTGGAGAAGATGGAGACGAGAAAGTTCAAGGCCAAAGGAAAGGGCCAGCGCGAGAGCAGCTGTGGAGCCTCGGATTCGCTGAGCAGCAGCTCCACCTCTGACTGCGCCATCTGTCTGGAAAAGTACATTGATGGGGAGGTAAGAGAAGACACTTTGTCCTTTGATTCGAATTAATAACTTAATCTGTTTTGGGGAATGTCATGTCTACAGGCAAAGATGGTATTAATTGCCATAAACTGTGGCTTGCTATACTAAATAGGCTCTTACAGTGAATACAAAGTTAGACATTTCTTGCTTTGATGAAACCTTGCGTTTATATGCATGTATACCATCTCAAGATTCACCTGTAAGTCAGTCCATATTAACTGGTACCTAACGCATATAAGTGACAATACACTTAAAAGTCTTTTAAAACCTCAACTTGGTGACAAAGTTATACCTCAAAACCAATCAAGTGTCATTGCTTTAGAGTAACAGTTTTCCTGATACGTAGCAGTTCAACAAAAATACAGGAATACCCAGACTCTACGTGCATTAAGTGGACCATCTGTGAGCCAAACCTTTAACTCTGGCAGTGTTTGTGCGGTCATCAACCCACTGAGCTTGTTTTCTTTTCATTACATATTCTGTAGACCTGAAACATAATGCAGTTCTGTGGACAATGGAATGGAAGTTCCCCTGATGTGCTCAGGGACCGCAGTCCCGCGATCTTCTGTGACGTTCTTTCCGGCGCCTTTTAGATGTTTAGCTCAGTCTTTCAGAGCACCTGGAGAGATAACGGTACCCAGAGTGCATTGGGTTGTGATTTTGCTTCCTGTTTTCCCAGTGTGGCCTTCTTTAATCCTTAAAATGAGTCATTGTCAAAATATGTATCCTAATCTTGGACTCTGAGGGTTTACTGTAACAGCATTGCTCATCCTCAACACGGACGCTGCAGGGACAAACCCCTTTGCCCAGGGGGACATAGTTGGTGCATGCGTGAGTGTTTTTTTTGTGGTAATGTGTCTCTTCGGTAAGGAGGAGAAGAAAACACAACAAAGCATGGCGCCAGGATTGCACAGAGGAAGTGGCGATATAAAAGGCTGAATGGCATCAAAGCGCTTTTTGAGCAGTGAACCAAGCAACAAAAGCTTGGGTGGAAAAGAGCTCAAAGATGAGTCACATTAAGCCACAGTGTAAAGTATTTATGGCAGTGAAAGAGCTCTCACTGGAGAAGAATATTATAATTCATATTCATACTGCTCCTGCTGTTGTGTCTTGGAATTCCTCCATGCCAATTCTCCATCTGAATACAAAGTGTTGCATTCTTTTCATATCATTCCTCAAGTGAAAGCCTCTTGTTTGTTTTGTTCCTGAAAGTGGTGACATTGAGCATCAAAGCTGTATTTGTACTGTGGTGTGGCATCTAGTTAAGAGTTTTGTTTGTGGCATCATGTGTAGTTGGCTCCTCAGAGGGAAAAATTTGATTAAGACTGAAAACCATCAAACCTACTGACAGTCCAGTACAACTTTGCTGCCACCTTCTGGACATTCAGCCACTCACCATCACATTTTTATTCACTGTTTAATTTATTTATAATTTTAAAAAAGGCTTATTATACTATTTCATTTTACACCTATCTTATCAGTATATAATATTAGTTTAAAAATATTGAAGGGTTTTAACAAACATTTTTTTTTTTCAAGTGGTGAAATCTGTCTTGGATAAGGTGTTTTCTGGCACTGGGCAATTTTGGAAGCAAAAGAAAAGTGAAAGCAGATCAAAACATATAATAAAACATATTTACTTCGTATAGGTAAACACCCTTTAAAAACACTTTCACCCAAAATTTGAATTATTAAGTTGATACATATAGTTTTAAGTTGGTTGTTTTTTGGTAGCATATAATTTGAATGGGTGTATGTCATAAAGGAATGTCAGAAAAAAATGTCACAGTATAGTATGTCTCATTTATTTGATATGTAGTCCAATCATCTTATTGTATTTATTGTGACTGTATTTGTTGCTGTCTGCATTTTGTTATGACAGTACAGGTTGAATCTAACTATTAAATGTTGTTGTATTTTCTCTTTCAGGAGCTGCGAGTCATACCCTGTGCTCACAGATTTCATAAGAAATGTGTCGACCCCTGGCTACTCCAGCATCACACCTGTCCCCACTGTAGACACAACATCATTGGTAAGTTTGTACACAACCTCTGACTGGTTCGACATTTCAATAAAATAATCTTTGTCAGAAACAGAAATATTAATATGATGAAGGGAAAATGTTTCCTGGTTCTTTTAATTTGCGAGATTCTACACATTTTGTTATTTGTTTTCACAGAGCAAAAGAAGGGAAATCCAGGACCAGCATGCATGGACCCTGGTAACCCAGTCCATGGCCGGCAGCGTGTGGTGCTGCCAGTCCATTATCCTGGCAGGGTGCACCGTGCTGGCCAGGTGACAGCCTACCCAACCAGAACCAGCATGGACCCCCATGGCAACCCCATCACTGTACTCACTGTGGACCAGCACCCAGATCCTCAAGGTCTTTACCCTCCCCAATCAACGTCTGCCTTTCTCCGGAGCTACCACCCAACCCTTCATCTGGACCACTCACTCAACCCCCACCACTGTGGATTAGAGCACCGCGGACCACCCGCCTACCCAGCACAGCCGCATCACACTGCTTTTAAACGACCCAAGTTCCATGGTCGCAACTTTTCCCGAGCAGCCTGCTTCTCGCAGTACGAGACTATGTACCAGCACTACTATTTTCAGGGGTTGACTTTCCCTCAACAGCCTGAGGGAGGTCAAGGGCCTACTATGGCAGGGCAGCTTGGTGGAGGAGGAGGGGCCCACAAGGGCCATCACAGCAGGGCCTTTCAGCAGGGGCTGTTATACCCCACAGTGGTACACATGGCACCTGCCTCTTCTTCGAGGATAGGTGATACTGGCAGCACTTCTGGCCTGAGCTGTTACCATGGCCACCGCTCAGTGTGCAGCGGTTACCTTGCTGACTGCCCTGGTAGTGACAGCAGCAGCAGCAGCTCAGGCCAGTGCCACTGTTCCTCCAGCGACTCCATGTTAGACTGTACTGAGGTCAGCAACCAGGGCGTGTACGGTAGCTGCTCTACCTTCCGCAGCTCGCTGAGCAGTGACTACGATCCTTACGTCTACAGGAGTAAGAGTCCATGTAGGGGCTCCGTGGGGGAAGCAGGGGCTGCGGCCTGCGCCTCAGTTCCTGCAGAAGACTCATCATCCCCTGTTCCCTTGGGACATGACTGCCTCCAGCTCCCTCCTGGAGCTTCGGGATATAACTCGGGGGACCACCTCTCCAACTGCAGTTTGGAGCCCAACTACAGCAGTCGCTCATCACTGGAACCCAGGGAGAACAGCAACACTAGCACTACCTCAGCCGGGGCTCCAGAGGCTACTGGAGCAGACAGGGGGAAGGGGGCGCAGGAGGAGTCGGGAGAGCTTGGGGCTGCAGCCTGTAGCTGCTGCTTTGAGGTGCTGCCTCCCAATGTGGAGTGCAAAGGGCAGGACTCGGACCAAGCTGGGCCTTTGGCCACGGGACGCTTTCACAGGGGGGTGGACTTTCAGAGCTCAGCCTCCAAGAACTATTTTGCTCCTGAGCACATGTGCTCTTCCTCAGAGCAGGTGAGCTACGAAGGGCTGCCTTGCTGCTTCTACAAAGAAATGAAGGTGCACAGGGCCTCAACGGGGCGCTACACCGAGGACTATGCTGTTAATGTGCAGTATGCGCATGCAGACTCAGAGGCCTGCTCTGGACAGGGCTGCTGCGAACTCAACCAGAGAATACCCATAATTCCTGAGGACACAGATTGTGAATTGGGCACAGGGGCAGAGACCCAGAGCAGTTTATTGCCCATCAGCGTCACAGTGGAGGCAGAGGTGCGGACAGGGGAGCGACACGAGCCCAGGGAGGGGTATTTCACCTCAGGACAGTTTAGAGGTCAGCCATACCCTCAGGAGGAGGAGACCAGGGCTTTGTTCCACCCTCAGCTCTCTGCAAGCCCCACTGCATTGGGAAGCAGCAGTACTTCGACAAATGAGGGTGGTCTGGGTATATGAACTCCAGCCCAGAGACAAGGGACTCAGTCTAAAGTATGTATTTGGTACCGAACCAGTCAGTCAATCATTGAAACCCTCAGCTGCCTTGTTCTAACCTTGCTCTCTGAGCTCTGAATGTTATCATCTTCGATTGTGTGGATTTCTACTGAAATGGCCTGTCATTTCTAGACAGTGTATCAAGTTCATTCCTGTGGTCACAAACGTCTCAGAGCCGACGATGTTACCATAGTACTGAGACAAAGTGAAACTACAAATTTGGATGGAGGTTGTTAACTGAAACTAGAAGTAGGTTGGTATTGGCATCTATTTGCAGACTGTCTGCTGCCATCAAGGGTTCGGCCCCTTTGGCATTAAGTAATCCGGGCCCATTTCTTGTGAGACTTTTTCAAGAACAAGATATCTTTGGTGCAAGATCTAGGATTCTGAGATTTTTTTTCTCTACAAAAATGTACACTCTTAATTCACAAACATCTGCATCTACATGTATATGTGCGCACATGAACACTGACTGCCTATAAAGCTTCAACCACCAACTCAAATAGGTTGTACGGACATAGCTATACCAAAACAGAAAGACATGATTGTTTTTTTTTTCTTTTACTTTTTTCAAAAGCAGGGAAATGGGTCATTCTTAGTGTTTGCGACCCACACGTTTCTCTGAGGAGAAGAAGCTATATATTACAGAAAAAAAATGCATAGAAATGTGAATGCAAGGCTGACACTGGTCTCTATTCAATATAATACAGAATTTGTTTTATGCATTGCATTTCTGTCCAGTAGTGGCCTACCTGTATGAGATGTGCCAGAGCATCATGAAAGCCTTATGCTGGTAAGCTGTTTGTAGCAATATCTAAAACTAAAAGACACTGCGCCGCTTTTAGTCGAACGCCAGTCTGAAGTGACAGTGTCTCGGGGTCAGTAGATTTCTCCAGAAGTAGAGTGTAGCACTCTACCTCCTGTTTGGAAGCCCTTAAAAGTGTATTTTTGCTGTCACTTACTCAATTTTCCTCAATGAGGCATGCTCTAATAAATATCTATAAAAAGGTTCTAGCATGTATCAAAAGGCCAAAGGAAAGTAGCTGGAAAAGACTCATATTTCATAAGGGTTCCTTATTGTACTGTGACTTTTTTTTTTAATCGATGCAGTTATACATACCACAGTGTATCCGTTTGAATCATATCGTGCCATGCATAATACATACTCGCGATATCAATGCTTGTCATTCATGCCTTTCTGTTTGTCCTGCAGACTGTTTTTATACTGTTTCTATGAAATATACACATTCTCTACACAGAGGAAAACTTTCTGAAATAACCCTATTTATAAGTTAACCCAGTGCTGTAATCAAGTGAGAATCTAATCTTGCCTTTTGCATAGAGATATGTACCTACTGCAAATATAACATTTTGGGGTACTTGAGTCACTATTTAATTTTTTTTTGTTATTGTTTCTAGCACTTAAGAAGATTAAAATGTGTACAAAAATTAATATTTTTTAATTTTTTAAGAATATAATTATTTTCTGTCATTACCATTACAAATGTTTTAAAAAAAGGCTAGAAATCAATCTGTATATTTCTGTACCTGTATAGCAAACACATTTCATAAATGGAAATATGTTCTCTGAATATTTATTTACTAATATATTTATCTTTAAGCCATGTCTTATGTTCAGAGTGTATGAACGTTTGAGTTATTTGGTTGCTTTTTATTTTGAGAAAAATCACTAACATGAGACTTTGTATATACATGGTAATTGCACACAAGACGATTAAATCTTCTCTGACCAAAAACTGATTTTAAAACTTTAGTACCATACAGTTTTGTAATTAAAGTGTACAAAGATCTGTAAAATATACAGTTTTATTCAAGTAACTCATGTTGTGGTGTCCTTCTTTCCATTGTTTGAATTCCACGTTGACATTTTTACATTTTGCTTTCTAAAAGTTAGTAGTTGTATTGTTGTTAGTAGTAATAAGTAGTTTGGTGTCAATGTTTTCCAAAAAAATTTATTACTTGTTGCCAAAATGTTGACATTATAAAAAATATTCAAAACTAACAACACTTACATGGTTTAACTCACTTGCCAGTCTTAACATTACCACCACACATTCAGTGACATGCACTCTATACACCAACATTGGTACTGTTTTTAATGAAGACCAACAGCAGGTAAGTAAATCAATAAATATATCCACTGACCTGACTTCCTGTCACTGTGCAGAGAGAAGCTCTGGGGATTCATGCTCTGAAATTCATGTCTGATAACTGCAGACAGTTTGTTATACAGGCAAAAAAGCCTGAAACACAGATCAAGTCCTTTGGCTTTTTTTCACAGGTGTCAGAAGTGCATCTCACAGTTTGAAACCAGAGTGAAGAGCCACAATTCCGCCGGTGAGGTTGTGGTACTTCACACAGTAGAAACCTGCGTCCTCAATCATACATTTAAACTCCTCCTGTAGAAAAAAACAAAAGAGTACAGGAAATGATTTACCAACATTTAATCCACAAAGTTACACTGCTTCACATAGTCAGGTAGGTGTTTGGCATCAAATAATTAATACAGGTGAAAATCTAACAAGCTTTAAGCAATGGAAACAAAATTTCAGAACCTACAATGACAAGTAGTGTTGAGACAGTTAATTATTCAATTGATAAAATGAATCAGCATTTCTTCTCATTTCTAACAACAACAGCAAAGTGCAGTTTCACTGGTTATGTTGCATTGACTTAATTCATTACATGTACCTATAACATTTAGTATACCATGACTTTTAGTGAGACATACCATACTGTGACTTGTGTGTGTGTTTTTTTTTTTTTTTGGACAATATATCATGACTTTTTTTGTTGTTACCTTTTCTGACATACTAGGTTTAGGTGTTATACTGTATTATACTATGACATTTTTTCATGATTTTGGCAACATACAAAACTATGACTTTTGTCCTCAAAATACTATGACGTACTATGACTACCTTTCATGATTTTGGACGACATAGTATGCTATAACATGCTTTCATGATTTTTGACAACATGCTATACTATTAAGTTTTTTTCATGATTTTTGACGACATACTATACTATGACGTTTTTTCATGATTTTGGACGACATGCTATATTATGACGTTTTTACATGGTTCTGGACGACATACTATACTATGACGTTTTTACATGATTTTTGACAACATACTACACAACGGTTTTTTTCATGATTTCTGACAACATGCTATACTATGACGTTTTTTCATGATTTTTGATGACATACTATTCTAAGACGTTTCTTCATGTTTTTTGACGACATACTATACAATGACGTTTTTTCATGATTTCTGACGACATACTATACTGACATTTTTTCATGATTTTGGACGACATACTATACTATGACGTTTTTACATGATTTTGGACGACATACTACACGATGACGCTTTTTGATGATCTTTGACGACATGCTATACTATGACGTTTTTCATGATTTCTGACAACATACTATACTATGATGTTTTTTCATGATTTCTGATGACATACTATACTGACATTTTTTCATGATTTTGGACGACATACTATAATATGACGTTTTTACATGATTTTTGATGAGATACTACACGATGACATTTTTTCATGATTTTTGACGACATATTATACTATAACATGTTTTAATGATTTTTGACAACATGCTATACTATTAAGTTTTTTTCATGATTTTTGACGACATACTATACTATGACGTTTTTTCATGATTTTGGACGACATGCTATATTATGACGTTTTTACATGGTTCTGGACGACATACTATACTATGACGTTTTTACATGATTTTTGACAACATACTACACAACGGTTTTTTTCATGATTTCTGACAACATGCTATACTATGACGTTTTTTCATGATTTTTGATGACATACTATTCTAAGACGTTTCTTCATGTTTTTTGACGACATACTATACAATGACGTTTTTTCATGATTT